ATAAAGAGAGACAAGTCATTGAATCAAAGGGGGAGCTTTGAGAGATTCATGAATGTTTGGAAAAATAATAAAAAATATAGGGAAAATAACTATAATATAAGTATTAAGGGAAAAAATTGTATGACCTTTTTTCTTAAAGTAAAAAAAAGAAATATAAAACGCTTAATTTAGGGCAAGACATCCCCAACCAATGCATGCATAACAATATATAACCTTATTCCTCGATTAGAAATTATAAAGATATTTATATAGCGATGCGGGCGTTGCCCTAGCACCTGATTGTGGGTGCCAAAAGAGCTTGATGCGGGTGCTTGTTTCCGCGGAATGGGAGGCCCGCGACTCTTAGCAAATACTGTAGACGGGGCAGGATCGTGATCTCCCGCAATCCTTCACGAACCGAGGGGAGGGTGATGCCTGTAGGAGTTTCAGGAAGGGCTTCTTTGAACCCTTATCGCCTCTTTTGTGTAGAAGTTTCTTTGGAGGCTATAAATAGCTATCCTCGGTGTGTGAAGAGTCGCTTCTTGGTGTGTTTAGTTTTAGATCTCCTGTGTGGAGTCCCTTTCTCCTTTGTGGGTTGTACCCGAGGAGATGGTGGTACTCCGACTATATTTTCTCCGAGGTGATGATTATATCTTTCCTTTTACCTTCCCCAAATCTTCTCCTCTCTCTCAACTGCCAAACTCTCCCTCTGTCACCATAACATTCAGACATTCTCCCTTCATGTAGATTATTATTGCTATCACATCTACCTAACCCTGTTTAAGCTCCTCCCAACCACCCTGGTACTGCTGTCAACCACCAACAACCCTTCCCACCTTCTGTCCCTACAGTTTTGCACCTTCCCCTCGCTACCATCGCCTCCTGAGGCTGTTGTCATCCCTTCCAATCGTCTCTATCCCTCTAACCGACCTCCACCACCCATTGGGTTACGTTCATAAGTGTTTGCTTGTGTCGTTTTTATGTGTTGTGTTGTTATTTTCGTTCGAGTCATATTGTAACTCTATTTAATGAAAGTTTGTTTTTGTGTTTCTATAATTTTCTCTACTAGCTCTGGTATCATTTGGTATCAGAGCTAGCTCAACCCTAGTCTTATCTTAGGGTTCCCCAGCATCCGCCCTTGCCCAATTCACCTCCATCAATTTTCTTCTTCCAATTCCAAACTTTAGTCATTCCACCACGAACAGGTACACTGGACTCGACACGGAAAGAGATCAAGCGAGAAAATCGTCTCCTACAACTGAAAGTAGGTTAAGCAGAACTGGATGAAGAAACCCAAGAAGATGTTACCTGCATCCATGATCAAGAAAGTCAAAGGGAGAACAGGGACGAGGAAATGAATATGTTTTACAAGGAAGATCACGATGACGAGAAATATCAACCATGTTGTTCAGGTATCCAATATCAAATGAGGTTGAGAGAAGAGGCTCCTTATGGAGGTCAGCGAAACTTTGGCATCAAGATGGACCTTTCAAAATTTGAAGGAGGTATGGATCCCGACGAGTTTATCGACTGAACGAATTTTCGAATATAAAGATGTACCAGAAGACAAATGGGTCAAGCTAGCCGCTATTAAGCTGAAGAAGAGTGTTTTCCTATGGTGGGAAAATATGTAGAAGCAGAGGAAGAGGGAAGGAGGTCAAAAGATCACTAGGTGGGAGAAGATGAAGAAAATAATGCCGAAAAATTACCTTCCACCGCACTATCGCCAGGACATGTTTCTAAAACTCCACAACTTGCAGCAAATGGATCTTTCAGTTGAAGAGTTCACCGCCCAATTCGACCACTTGCAGATGAAATGCGAGCTGACAGAGCTAGAGAAACATTCGATAGTCAGATATATCGAGGGTTTGAAGCCTATCATCAGCAATGTAATACAATTGCAGTCATATTGAACGCTACGGGATAGGTCCAAACAGTAGCTCTGAAGGTGGAAGGACAACAAAAGTAGAGTCAACAACAGTCATCCTTCAGGCAGCAACCTCCAGGCAAACACCACCTACAGTTACCACAATAAACAATGGCCCCCGAGGAGAGACTAGCAAGCCTGAAAAAGAGAAAGACAACCTGAATCAGAGCGAGAAGAAGCAAGAGAAATGTAGCGTCTCCAACAGTATACTAGCCACAAAATATTTCAAGTGTCACAGTTACGACCATATAGCCTCCAGCTACCCCACGAGAAGAGTAGTCTCACTTACTGACCAGGGCGCCGTGGAAGAGATTAGTGATGATGAGAGTCGAGGAACAGAATGAGGTGTATCAGCTTCTCACAAATGAAAGAGAGACGCTCGTGATTTTCTACGGATCCTGTAGACTGAGAACACTAGGGATTCGCAGTGGTTTTGCCACAATATATCCTACGCCCGCTGCACAGTAAACAGAAAGGTATGCAGTCTCATCATCGACGGCCGAAACAATAAGAACATGGCGTCAACACAGATGGTAAAGAAATTATGACTCACAACACAGAGACATTCCCAACCATATTCACTTCGGTGGCTGAAGAAGGAGAACCAGGTCAGCATCGACCCAAGATGCTTGATAGAATTTTTTATTGGAGGCCAGCTGCTGGACCAGGTGTCGTGTGACATGGTCCCTATAGATGTTTGTCACCTTTTGTTGAAAAAACCGTGGCAATTTGGCTGAAAAACACAACACGACAGATATAAAAACATGTATTCTTTCACCAAGGACGGAAAGCACGTCACCCTTCTTCCTTCAACAGAGCCCGAGGTCAACCCTTTTCAATAGAGCAGCGTCGGTGGAACCATTTTTAGTGATAACACCAGGCGAGAAGACCGAGACACCCGCCCCAGACATAGGACAGATATGACCGGGGTTATGTCAGGTCAACACTGTGCTAGCAACACCACCACAATCCGGGAATGACCTGATTGCTATCACTACGCACTCAATTGAACCGATCATATGTTACTTTGGGAAGATTCACTAGCATAGGAGTGGTAGGGAGTGGTCGACCACCCCAAAAGGATATATCGATATGAGCATTTGCTCGCAAGCTAGGGAAGACCCTCAAATACCTCGGGCAACAGTACAATCATCAGTAGGAACCAAGGTGACTGATAATGAAACGAAAGCTTCGACCAAAGAAGTCGAAGCTCCCCCAACCCCAGAAGATTGATGCGGGCGCTGCCCTAGAGCCCCATTGCAGGCCCCGAAAGTGCCTACTGAGGGCCCCAAAAAAGCCCGATGTAGAAGCATATTTCCGCAGAACGAGAGGCCTGCGACTCTTCGCGGGTACTGTAGACGGGGCGAGATCGAGATGTACTGCGATCCTTCGCGAACTGAGGGGAGGGCGATGCCTGTAGGAGTTTCGAGAAGGGTTTTTTTGGATCCTTCTTGCTTCTTTTGTGTAGAAGTTTATTGGGAAGCTATAAATAAATGTGCCCAGTGTGTGAAGAGTCGGTTCTTTCTGTGTTTAGTTTCGGGTCTCCTGTGCAGAGTCACTTTCCCCTTTGTGGGCAATATCTGAGAAGGTGATGGTGCTCCGACTGTATTCTCACTGAGGCGGTTATTATATCTTCCCTTTTACCATCCCCAAATCTTCTCCTTCCCTCTCCCAATTGTCAAACTCTCCCTTCGTCGCCTCGACATTCAAACATTTCCCCTTCCTGCAGATTATTACTATCATCCCGCCTACCTAACCCCGTTCAAGCTCCTCCTAACCACCCACTAATGTTGTCTACCACCAACAACCCTTCCCAATTGCTGCCCTTATAGTTTTGCACCTTCCCCTCTCTACTACCTGCCTCCTGTGACTATCGTTGTCCGTCCTAATCGTCCCTATCCCTCTAGCTGACCTCCACCACCCATTTGGTTACGTTTAGGAGTGATTGATTGGGTTGTTTTTTATGTGTTGTGTTGTTATTTCCGTTTGAGTCATATTGTAACCCCATTTTAATATTAATTAAAATTATTTTTCGTGTTTCCACAATTTTCCCCACTAGTTCCAGTATCATATATCCATTAAAAATGCTCTGTCTAACAAAATATCATATAAAAAAAATCTTCAGCAGTATAGGCCAAAACACTACACGTGAAGGAGAAAAAATATTTCATTTTTTACAAACATATCACAATGCATAAATTAAATGATATAACATATGCATTTCTATGAGATTTGAACTTAACTACAAAAACATTCTCACTATGATATATAACCTCCAACAAATGTTTTCTTATTTCTATAAATAATTAAATAAATCAATAAGCCAAAAAAATAAAAAACAACTAAATAAATAGTATGTATGGACTAGAGAACACACAATATATATAGTATATGATATTTAATATTTGTTTTTTGTTCCTTGCCATGCAAATAGCATTGGAGGTTCACCAAACTATGAAAAGAGCTAATTAAAGAAGAGTTAGTTGATCCAACAGTTACAAAGTTCCTTATGCAGGATAATGTCTCAAATTCAAGTCCTCCTTACAAAATTCGAGCCCTCCATACAAAATTAGTTTAAATTTCAAGTTGGCTGAAAAAGAACTTTTAGCCACTTGGGAATTTTCAAACCTAATAGAAAATAATTTTAAGTCGGGGTGTAACAAATCAATTTTAATTCCAAGAAAGCTTGACCCAAAATACATGAACTACAAGTGAAGTCTGGCTTGAGCTAAATTTGACAGCTAAAGTTTAATGTGGCAGCACTTATAGTGGATTATCATCAAACCAACACTTTAGTCATAGTGTTATCCACATCTATTATCCCTTGTAAATTGCAATATCACAACCAAAGCTTTGAAATTTTTGGTTACTCTCAACTAAGGAAACGTACTCAATAAAACCTTAAAAAGCACAAATCTCCATATGCAATTATGCATGCAATAGGAGGGAAAACTGTATGAGATCCATGAATAAATAAAGTTCCAAACTCAAACACATGGAGACTGAAAGGAACATAACTAATCAAATTGCTAATAATTGATAAACTCCCACAAAAATTGCATTTGGAGAAATCCGACAAAAAAAGGAAAAGCACCTGTGCTGGGAAATTCCCTCCAAAGGCATTGGGCACTAAATTAAAGCCCCCCTTGGAAGAAGACCTGTAGACGCCATACATCAGCTTATGGTCAAAATCGAAAAGGAACAGCCTTGTTCCAGGCCTAATCTTCTCCACAAGCTCCAGTTTCCCCTTGGGAAGGCCAAAAACTTGATGCCTATAGCACTCAGGCTTTGTCTTTGTACTGCACATAAAGATGAAACCTGCGCTCTCCCTGAGCTCACTCCCCCTATTTTCCATGCTGGCAGGTTCCTTACCCTTCTTCCCTGCACTAGCTTCCTTGCTCTCCTTCGCTGCACTAGCTTCACCTTTGATACTATTAGCGACCGGGCCAGAGCCACGTGCAGAAGCAGGAGCAGGGGCATGGGCCAAGGCATCAGCTGATCCAGGGGCAGCCTTTGTGTCTTCCTCTATCTGGCCGTCATCATTCTTGTTCTTCTTCTCGGACACATTCACACCTCCAGATTCCTTATTCTTGGATCTTTTACGTTTCCCCATCACAGCTGCCCGAAAAGGTCCAAAATCAAAACAAAAAGGAGCTGAAATCTTATCTAAACAGATCTCGAGTTATCAAAGCAAATATCTTGCGCCCGAAAAGAGAAACCCTAGCCAAGATTTCTAAAATAAAAACAATCTAATGTCCTAATCAATATGAGAACTCTGTTGGTAAGAAAAAGCCTAACTATAATCAACGATCTAAATGGGCAATATTGTTGATGAAGATTTCTCGTACCTGTAACCTGCGGAGTGTGAATTGAATAAACAAATGGGACTTAGAGCAGTCGAAACCGACGCAGGATGCGAGCGTCGATGGCGGACGGTACGCGTACCACAAACTAAAAGATATATGAATGGCTGTGCCCGTGTAAACAAATATCTAAAAGAGCTCGTTAATTTACATGAAAATTGTACTAAGCTAGTTCTGCAACGAAGATTTAAGAGTTAGAATTGGCAGAGTGAATTTTGGTTGGAAAAAAAAAACAAAGAATTTCAAGATGTCAAATTTAAATTCTAATTTTGTTATTTTTATTGTTGAAGTTTGATTTGACATTTAGTCACACCCGAGGAATAGGCCATAAGTAAGAAAGGATTCGGATATAAAGAGAGAGGGGAGCAAATAGTAATAAATAATAATGTGTTTTGTCTTATTCTTAAAATTATATTTGTATTTATAAGGGAGATGATATAATATGATGATATTATATTTTTGTCTCTGCTTTAAAGAGAGTTGTATAAGATATTTTGATATTTTACATGTGCAAGCTTATTGTCCGGTTGTTTATCGGGTTGGCTGGTTAAGCTCAATTTAATATGTCTTAGTCATTATGAGATGTTCAGTTGATATTGTTTGATTGCCGATCATTGACCCTAAACAAGTGTTCTCTAGATGTCTTTATGGTAATTTTATATGATAAAGAACCAAATCTTTTTTGGATCGATTCTTTTGTGATAATTGGCTCGCATGTCCTTTTGCCTCATTTCTGTTTGAATAGTTCTATCTTGTACCCATCGGTCGTCTTTGATCTGTTTTGTGATCCAGTCGGCTTTGGTCGCACACTCATACAACTTCACTCAGTTGTAAAGTGAGTTTCATCATCTCCTTCACCAAATTCTTTTCTTCTGACACATTTTATGTACATAATTTTTGGGGTGTTTGACTAAACTCATGATTTAACTTGAATAGGATTTAATAAATTATGTAAATTTAGGTTGATCAAATCCAAAAAGGTTAAATGCAGGAAAAAAAAAATGTTTACTTCAATTAGGGTAAAATTTAACTAAATTTCTTTTGAAGTGTTTGGCGACAAGACAAGGGACAACTCACATATTTCACTTAAATTCATTAAATCCAACTAATAATTGGATTTAATAAATCCTGAATTTACTTCAAAAAAAGATAAAATTTTGGATTTAGAAAACCACGGGATTTAACTTTGATTTTGTTGCATTTGGTAGATTTACATCAATATTTAATGTAAATTCGTGTTTAAATCATGTACCAAACAACCCGTTAGTTCTCCCATTATCTTACTTCATGAAAGTGATGTTAAGATAAAAATAAGAGAATTTAATAAAAAAAAAGATCATTTATTATTAAACATTCGTTCAAAATTTGAACTCAATTAATTTCTAGGCCTTTGATTCTTTTAAATATGGAGTTATGAGACTCTTTGCATTCCATATTTGGTATGCAACCCTTCTTGTTTCAATTGATTGGCTCCTAGGCATTGTGACGTAGAATGTGTCGAATCCCCAAGGCGATATCCTATGCAAAGATCCATTTTGCATAGCCTTCAGGGGACTGAATGGCATGATAGCCCAGAAGGAAAACAAAAAGTAAGTGGTCGTACTCGCAGATTTGGTCATGTTGTCGTCTTATTAGTTTCTCGACACTCAACAAAGAAACATTCGAGCGACATACCCAACCATCGATCCGTCGGCTTAACCTTCCTATTGTTGCACGTGACCGCCAACCGAAAGGGTCACGCAAGAAGTTGTTGATGCTCTGTCGTTGCCCGAAACACAAGAAGTTGTTGATGTTTTATTGTTGCCCGATGAGAGTACAGTGTCATCTGCATCATTTAAGTGGAATCAACTCATTGGTATGCAAAGCCTCAATCTTACTGATTAGATTTTGATTCTTATGAAGTAGCTTCAATTTTTGTTGTCTCTTGGTGCAGTTGAATCGACTTTTATAGTTTCATGTGACTTGCCCACGATGAACGTGGATGAGAACCCTATTGCAGCCCAAGCGGCAGTTTCCTAGGCGCAAGCCATGGGCGGCCAACTCTTGAGTGTCTACGGCGGGCTTGACCTCTCAGAAAATCCTCTTGAGACCAACGTGGAATAGTGATGGATATCGAATGTATCCCTGATTGCTGGCCCGCTACTTGGACGGGAATGAGGACTCTTTCGCTTAGTTGGGTTGGATCCAGTGAGGCAAGGCGATGTGCGAGCTGCTTGCTTGTGCGGAGAAAGTGGAGAGGACCGAAGGGGAGATGCCCAATCATCTCTTACAACTAACTTTGTTGAAGAGGCAACCGAGTCCTTTGTAAAATATTTCCACCGAGACTAGTTTCCAAGTGTTGCTTGTAATCTGTAAAATTAATCTTTCCCATCTCAATTCTTGTATTGATGTGATATTTATGTCAACGTGTTTCTTTAGTCTCTCTCTCTCTCTCTCTCTCTCTCTCTCTCTCTCTCTCTCTCTCTCCCTCTCTCTCTCTCTCTCTCTTGGTTCTCATTCTCTCCCCT